CACCGAAACTATGCCCCATAAGAGACTGTATAAAATGCAAAACTGTAGCACTGCTAGCGTCACTACGGACAACTATGGAGTTCTAGTCCGTTGGTTGCAACTGAGCAAAAGTCTTTTCACTATTTGGCGGCAACTTGGTGTAGATTACATTGAATTCAGTCGTGGCGCTAGCAGTGTGACAGTTTGGGCATAATTTTGGTACGCTCAAAAATAATAAATTGGACAAAAGAATTTGTTTGCTGTAAAAATGGGTAAAGTGGGTAAGGCGAAGTGGTTATGTTTACATATTTTATGAAGCAATCATTGGTCGTTTGAGGTGACGGAATCGTGAGGTATCAAATGGAGTAGGGGCTTTCATGCAAGATTTTCTTTCCCGAATTCGACGAATAAACAAGAGTATAACAAATGATGCAAATGTTTTCAAATAATGCAAAGTTTTACCGATTTCACTATTTTGTGCAAAAAATCCACCGATCTTGGCCGATATGTGAAGTGTATGTTCTGGAAGTGGACCCTCAGGATGGGCCAAGGGATTGTCAAACCATGGTCTGGTCTGGTCCATCCAGAGGATCCACCAAAACCCACTTCCAGAACAATTAATTATCAAAAAATACCCGAATATAACCGATATTTTACAGATATGCCGATATTCCGCCGATATTTCAACGATATTTCAACGATATGCCAATATGCAACGATAATGCAAATTTCATCCAATAAAAATACATGAAAACCCCTAGTAGTGGAGGGTTTGGATTGAGGAGAAAAAGTGTTTTTGTTCAAACCATGTAAGTTCGGACTCGGGATACCCTCTTTAAATCGTCCGAGCTACCTCTCAATTTATTAGTTATAATATGGTGTTGTGGCAAACTTCAGTAATTGTGATGGCCTTTGATTCTCATAAAACCATTGTCATAGTTCAAGGTTGATTAATTATGTGCTTGTGTGTGCATGAAAATATTTCAAAATTTCCGTTAAACTCAAATTGGAATAGCCTTCCCACACTAGGTGTGTGGAAAGGTAAAATTGGTTTCCCTCTGTACAGATTCACTTCATCCTTTCGAATTGAATCAATAATGTGACATAAGTTGCGATAGCCGCAATGATCTGTAAAATCAAATGATCAAATTAATTGCGAAAAGTAAATTTTTCCGACGCAAAACCAATATTTTTTACGAAAACATGATTCATATCAAAAACAACGGACGTACATTGTAAAAAAGGGGCCAATCGAAATGAAAAAGACCACAAGTTGCCACGGGATGTTGATACGCTATTTGTTGGGATACATACGTCAACTAAGAATTAAATGAAAAACGTCATAAAACCCGAGAAATCGGGATTAAAAAACCCATACTTATGGATAGAAAAGTTGTTAAAAAAGTATGCAAGAAAAAATATTATATTTTAAATATATCAAAGCCAAACCTCTGCGGCCACATCTGAGTCATTGCATGTATTGATGTTATCGTGTAGTCCCTTCAAGATCGCTTTGCCCTATCACATGAAAATCATAAATTTTGCCATTGAATGTTCGATTAAGTGGAATGAAATACCTTCCGTGCAATCAAACTGCCGCTATAAATAACCAGTATTGTAATCGGTGCATAATAAAATGTACAAATGAGGTTGAAAGATAGACGATCCATTTCACTATGTCCCCCAAGATATTTATAAATAGCCAAAAATACTAAAATATAATACACAAATGCGACCCCAATGTAAACCATGACCTGAAACGGAAACTCCGAATGAGAATTAAAACGGAATTTTGAAGGACAGAAAATGACCTGGAGTGAATAGCAGCGATTAATCATTTCCATAATTTCAGTCAGCTTATCATGTTGACTACCAATAAACTTAATTATTCGAATTCTCTCCATTTGTCGTCGTTGCGGTGAGATAGCCGAATTGCCGCCACTCGTAAAATGCTTCCTACAACGACAATAAAACAATAACACCAATGTCTAAATATAGAATATGGTTTAGAAATTACAGTAATATTGTGTCCAACATTTCGAAGCGTTCACAAAGTTGATAAATCATTACAACATAGGTTATATGCACCATATCAACGACACTAGTTGTGTGACAGTACATATAAAAGACTTTCAGCCCTCCTCCCATTATGAAGTTTTCGCGAAATTGTCGAAATAAAAGAATAGCCAAAATAGGTGTCAGAATAGTAAACACGAATGTTCCCAGGTACCAATAGAACATTCGTCGACGCTTCGTTTCGTAGTCCAAGTCAATTTCATACTTCATCATCTATGCTTGAACGAAAGTTTCTAGTCAATCAATCAATAATATGGAAAAATTGTAATGAATACAAACTAGTTTATCAAAACGGGCAAATCTTTGCAAAATATTTGTAAATCTGGATCGATTATACATGTCCATTGCAAGCAATAAGGGAAGTGAGGCAACCTGGACCAATCCAATCAACGAGTCACAGGAAGCCAAAAAATTATTGCTACTTTGCAAATCGACCGATAAGAGATACAGCGATGTAGCGAATAAAAGCATCAACATTTTGATCGCAAACCAAAGCAAATCAAGCATTTTCACGCGGGCTTTTTGAATGTCACCATTCGCATCACACTCGATTGAAAATGGCAAAAGACCGAATATACGAGAAAAAATGTACATTGGACGAAAACAACTGATTAAATTCATGTTTGAACCGCGCACTTTTGTAGTTTGACCGGCGGGTGTGATTTTAGACACATCTGGAATCAAATTTTTATTCGAATCAAGCATTTTTCGAAAAAAAAAACTTTGGGTGAGAAAATAGGTCCAGCGATCAGGAGAGTTTAAAGTCGACTGAATATTTAAGGGACGCACTTCACTTAATATATCATCAGAAGAAATTGAACAACATTTTATTATATTTGAATTAGGTTTCTATTTTTGAGATACAACACATATATTAAGCTATAAATTTGATTTTTTAATTCATTTTTTAAAGCATCTTAAATTATGAATTCCGTTGAAAATCAACATTCGTGCATTCATGATATCGTGGTCGTGTGTTTGACTTTTCAACGTAGTTTTATTGATGAGCCAAGTTTACTTCTCTGCACACAATTACTTCATTCTATCGAATTAAATCAATAACGTGACAAAAGTAGCGACCGAACCAATCACCTGGAATTAAAGTCATTACATTTAATGACGAACATTTTTTAGATTTACAAAACGAGAAAAGGGACAAATGTAGGCTTGGAATGAAAATAACCGAATAGCAGGGACTCATGGGTGCATGCGTGAGTTAATCGCTTTCCAAAAAAGTGCCATTTTAACAATGAAGACCTTTTATAATCCCTTCAAGTATTGTTTCTAAGCACACATGGGACTTTGAGTAATTGGAAAAACATCGAGGGGGATAATCAAAAAAGCTAATTCGATTTACTATTTTATGTACTATTTTTATTAATATAAATCGTGCACAAAAGTGCAATTTTTTCAAGTGCTCAATATATATTGTTTTCCCGAACCCGACCAGAGCCCGACCGAAACTATTTTTTTTTTTTTTTTTAATGAACAATTCATTTTGGTCACACTTTACAGTCTTTTAAAATTAATAATTTTTCGAAAATATCGTCATCCATGGATTGCCGCTGAGGCCGTAAAATCATCTCTAAAAAAATATTTTTTACATTAAAATTTGTTATGTAGTAAATTAAGTAGAATTTTTTTTACGTGCGATCGAGAAAAGTCTTTCGACTGGGGCGGACGAAGAAAGTATCGAGTTGTATTTTATGAACAAATGACGGATAAACTACTTATTACTAAATCCATAAAAAAATTTAATAGAATGTTTTCTTCTTGATTTGATTTGTTTAATGACGATATTTTCGAAAAATTATTAATTTTAAAAGACTTTAAAATGTGATCAAAATGAATTGTACAATGAAAAAATGTTTTAAAATATATTCTGATTGATTTGATTTGATTATTCAAATAAATATAAAAATTGAAATCATTTGATTTGATGTACACTATTCAAATCAATTGAATCATTTGATTTGATTTAAAATATACTCGACCATCCAAATCAAATCAAATGATTTAATTGATTTGAATTGTGCCTTCCAAATCAATTTATTTTATTTTTAATTTTGATTTAAAATCCACTTTTGAAAGCCCTGCGTTCGGGTCGACCTCTGCTATAAATTGTATGAACGATTTATTTCGTGCTATCAAATTGAATCAGTTAGGTCAAATATGTAGTGATAGCAGCAATCATCTAAAAAAACAGAGATATATTTTCTTTTATACGGTAAACAATTTTCTCTTTAAACGTAACGAACATTGAGCAAAAAAGTCCAATTGAAATCAAACAATCCACATGTTGCCACCGCAACAAGTGGGCAAATTAAAATGATCTACTATAGGACAATAAACAAAGCTCCGAATATATATTTGAATAGGAAATCTTCAAAACAAATGGGCATGAATTTTGATAAATGAAGACTTGGACGCATAGTTTCTGGGTCAGGGTAATCATCAACCTTAGAGAATAGATTGATGAGAAAAAAAATCGCCAATTTGAAAGTGAAAATCTTGCTTTTAAGTTTTCACTTTTGTCACGAAGTTTACACTAGATCAGGCCAGATTTCCAGGGAGTAATTTTCAAAACTATATTTCATCTAGTGTATTGTACCATTACCGAGCAAAGGACCTTTCCTCACCCAAAACTACAAAAAATTATGATTCAAAAACTCCTAGCAATTTGAAAGAATATTCCTCTCATTAAAACCACTTGAAATTTTGAGAAAATTTTCTCGGCAAAGACCCTAGAAAATTTAAAGATTTCACCTCTCATAGTTTCAATTGCAATGATTATTGATTATACCACTTCATTTCAGGTGCTAACATAAATTTTATTTAAGATTTAATTGTGCAATTGTGCAACCCAAAAACATTAATTTCACTTCTACATAAAAGAATAATTGCCCAGGAGAATTTAAAAGACTTCATCGTTTCATTTAATGTTATCAAATTGAATCAATATGGTCAAATAGGTTGTGATGGCACCAATCATCTACAAAATAGACAAAAATGACCTCAACACGCAAAGTAATTTTCTTAAAAAAATAAACAGTCACAAACGTTGTATAAAAGAGTCCAATCGAAAAAGAACAGTTCACATGTAGCAACCGGATGGCGATTTTGTATTTGTTGCGATGCACAGATTAACTATTACAAACAAAATGCAATAAAAAGGCACTAATAAACCAGTCTATGTATTTCGGATGGATATCCATCTATGAATCTACGGTATGTCGCTACGTATATGTGTATCAAGTTCCGCACGTACCTGTGTCGGTATTTTTCGTGTAGCGACATACCGTAGATTGTTTGTGCGACGAACACAGCTTTGGCTCTGTGCAGTTGCGTTAAATATCCAGATATTCTAAAATATCTCGGATGGATATCCATCCGAAATACATAGACTGAAATAAACTGTAAGCAAAAAAATTGTAAGGGGGAATGTACCTCTAAAACTATATCTTCATCATAGCAATGGTTGGCAACATCATGTAAAAGTTCAGAAGTCTTCTTTCCCTGAAAAATAAAGTAATCATGTAAAGAAAATAGCTAGATTAAGTTCGTTTGTGTTGTACCTCAGATTTTATAAGACTTCCGCAATAAATGACCATCATGGTGAATGTCATTGGGATTGTGGAGACGAAAGAGTGGGCAACTGCAACAGCCGTAAATATTTCATTATTTTGAATAAAATACCGATAAATCGACAGAAATGTCAGAATACAATAAACAAATGTAAGTCCGACGTACAGCATTATCTGAAACGAATTCGAACTTTCATCATTAAAACAATATATTTTCAATAGTTACTAGCTATGGAACAGAAAACGAACTTGAATTGAGAAGCAATGGTTAATCCTTTTCATGGTTCCCGTTAGAATGCCGTGTTGTGAGCCAATAAATTTGATGAAATCAATGACTTTGCCCTTGTTATTGGTGATTTTCACCACTGATAGTTCACCTTTCATGAGATTTTCCCTAGATAAAGGTATAAATCATTAAAATGTCCATATTGATCCTTCAAATTTGATATAACCAACCACAGCAATGAATTTAAAAGATCGATTCGATCACGCATGAGTAAAATGAGCACAATGTATGTTGTATGTAACATGGCCTTTATGCCACATATAAGAACTGAAAGGCCGAGGTATCTTATCATTTCAGGAGATATATCAATTTCTTCATTAATATGGAAAGAGAAATACGAGAGGGTCGGTATGATAAAGATGAATGCAGAGGCCATCGAATACAAAAATGAAATATTTTGACATTTCCTCTCGTAGTTCAAATGAATGCCATATTTTGCGATCTTTGTTCAAGAAAAGAATTGAATTAATGTGAATAAAAACCATTGATTAAAGTCAGGCTGCTTACCTTTTTATCAAAACTGCTGAAGTTTTTCACAATCTCAATGAGTTTCTGTCGATTGTAAATATCGCAAATGGTCATTATTGGTGCCAAGATCAGTTGAATACACACACTAAGACCACCGCCAACATCCAAAATGCGTGATACTTGTGTGTGGCTGCCAGGATGCATACTTTGAATATAAAAAAGTAACACACATGTTTGCAAACAAATTGAAATTGTGAACCATATCAAATCGAACCATTTAAT